ACATCTAACTCAGCTTTTGTTCTGTTCACTCATTTGCAAGAATGGGTTTGTGCTTTTCCCCATTATTTTTTACAGCTAAAAGACAGGTCTGTTAAGCAACACATTTCTCATCCAGTCGTCCAGTGGACTTGATACGTGGGGGCACCACAAACATGCCTAGCATAAAACTGAAACCAAAGTCCCAAACTACACATTATACTGGATGCATTATTGGATATAGTATAATTTGGGGGAGGGGTGTTAGAAGCGGGAGACCCAAATATCAGATGCTGCGGAAGCTCAGACATGGTGGGTAGAGGAGTTTGACCGTTCCCCCTGCTGTGATCCTGGCAAAAATATATGCCCATGCAGATGGAAACCTCCCATCAGTGCCAATGGGTATGAGTAACACATTTGAGATTGGCATGCCGTTGGGACCAATAATCCCAATAATTCAGTGAAAAGAGCATTGGCCTTTTGCTGCCTGCAGTTCGTCAGGAGCGACTTGTCGTGTGAGATTATAGAGCCATCAATGGACAATCCAAGATAAACCATGCCATTTAATTGTCTACATGCTGAGACAAATAGCGAGCTTGCCTTAAGAGGAAGCCTGCATTTCTATGTTCATCTTTCTTTCCATATACTACTTCAGTGAGTTAATGGTGATTCAATCTATTCGGAGCTGGAAGCTACTTCTCTAAGCTGGAGCATTTGAATGAAAAATGGGCAACCCACCCAGCCAAATCTCCCTTGGCCAAATGATCCCATTTAATCAGTGTTATTGTTTATATCTAGACAGGGGCTTTTAATCTGAGTATCTATCTACTAATTCTAACTAAAGGAAAGGAAATGGCGGGCAGGGAGGAGGGAGACAGAGTGTAAGTATCATTGCTGAGTCAGTTTTTCCTTTATCTATCTATCATGACAAACACGGCAGCAGGCAGGTGCGGCCCTGACTCCAGAGGAGTCTTGCTTTCCCCCAGAGGATTCTCATGCTGGGTCAAGGAAACATCTGCTTCACAATCCTGAAAAGGATTCTCTCCCCCTCCCCTCCTGACTCTTCTTCTGTATGTGTGTGTTCTCTTTTTTGCCACTTTTTCTTCGGTGTGTACATAATGTCTGGCAGCCTAATCAAGCATGCACGGTAAATTCTGTACCTAACAATATCCACTCCTGGTGTCCTTTAGATCAGGAATAGCCAGTGAGGTGCCTTCTAGATATCTGTTGGACTACAACTCCCCATCAGCATCAGCCAGCATAGACAACGGTCAGGAACTATGGGAACCCTGGCCCCACAGCTTCCTGCCTATTGTCTGATACTTGAGATGGATCTACGCGCATGGTTTTTAACGTTAAGGAAGGGTTAATGGATGGTTTTGATAACACAGACGGACACTTGACGTCCTGCTTTTTACGTTCCTAATGCGCTATTACCTTGTCTTTTTTATCGCTTAATTTTTAATTGTTTTATGAGACTATATCGGTGAAGCACTGCTCGTATATCCCTATGTAGTGTTTTACCTTTTTTTACTGCATTCAAACTGCAACCCCACCCCTCAAATGTTATCCAAAGGACGGTGTTCAGGGAGGAAGAATTAAAATGTTACACCAGAGGGCGGGGCAGAGCAACCAGCGACCAGTAGCAGAAAAGAAACAGCGTTTTGGAAAATGGCGTGGCCGGGTATTACTGTACTTACAAATGACGAAAAAACCCAAGGTAAAAAAATGTTTTCATTAACAAATATGCCCTGTGACATTTTAGAACGACATATCTAATATCATACTAATAGGAGGAAATAACGTTAAACAGGTCAGTATAGATCCAGCCTTGGAAAACTTTCCAAGGCCGCAGTCACATGGCAATTTATTTCATTTCATGTCATTTCCCTAACTGTTAATTTCTGCATTATAGTTGAACTTTCACGGGAAGTAAAAGCAATTTCTGCAACTATAGTGGAAGTATAGTGGATTAGAGCGCAGCTTTGACACACATTTCCATTATTATTTGCTAGCGAGTTTTTTCTGGAAGCAAATAACACGGAAATGAGCACTAAACTTGCACTAAACGATCATCACAATAGGGGAAAAACCTTGCAGCTATAGGTATACGGAGAAGAAACGCTCACTAAAATCCTGACAAGCTTTCATGAGGACTTTTTAGAATATGAAAACTGCTGCAGAAAAGTAGAGAGCTGAATTTAAAGATGAGAAAAAGATGAGAAACCAACATTTGACAGATTGGTCCATCCCTAGATGTAAACAGGAATGAGCTGCTTTCTACTGAGCCCTTGGTTTTCTTGAACTGTCTTCTGTGTTATTGAGTTGAGTGCGTTGTCTTCTACTCCCCAGTCAGTGAAGGGGTAGAATTCGTTGTCAGTCAGGGTCAGTGTTCTTAAGAGAACCAAGCTCCTGAGGACTTAGGCTGCTATATGTAATGTAGTAATGGAGCCTCCATGCAGCCTACTGAGTAGAACAGGCATCCCCAACCTGCGGCCCTCCAGATGTATTGGCCTACAACTCCCATGGTTCCTAGCTAACAGGACCAGTGGTCAGGGATGATGGGAATTGTAGTCCAAAACAGCTGGAGGGCCGAAGGTTGGGGGATGCCTGGACTAGTGCATACCCTCCAATAATCGTCAGATGAAAATAGGGACTTTTCTCATTCTCCCGCAACTGACCCTCCCATTTTTGGTCCCCCTTCCTCTACTGTTGCAGAGCATTTCCACTACCACTACACCAATGGGACACAGCACATACACCCTCCACTGTCCTGAGAAAACCCCTTAATCCCAGTTTTATTTTATTCTTTGGTAGATTCACAAAAAGAGAAACACACACCAATAAATAAAGTTGAGAAAGGGGCAAGATTAGACACGGATGCACAAAACATTTCAAAAAAATAAATAGATAAATCAAGACTCCTTGCGCTCTGCTCTGCTTCTCCCTTCTTCCTGCCCAGGGCAGCCCTGTCCTCTCCCTGCACCTCAGAGCCAGTGTGTCATGTGAGACTGGACCTTAGCAGTGGCAGCCAGTGTGGTGTAGTGGTTAAGAGTGGTAGACTCGTAATCTGGTGAACTGGGTTCGCTTCCCCGCTCCTCCACATGCAACTTCTGGGTGACCTTAGGCTAGTCACACTTCTCTGAAGTCTCTCAGCCTCACTCACCTCACAGAGTGTTTGTTGTGGGGGAGGAAGGGAAAAGGAGATTGTTAGCTGCTTTGAGACTCCTTAGGGTAGTAATTGTTATGTACTGAAGTTCTCACCCTGGGCCAGCAGGGGGGTACTGTAGATAGTTCAGGTCCACATATGCAAATAAGGGATCAAAAGTGACGTTCAGTGATTGGATAGTTACAGAAAGTTGTTACAGTTACGTTGTACTGGAGCTCTATATAAGCAGGCTGGATGAACCCTTCAGTTCTGGCCTGTGAATAAACAAGAGCTGTTTGAAGAATCGCTGTGTCGTCTGATATGTTCACCCACAACTTAACAGTAATAAAGTGGGATATCAAATCCAAACTCTTCTTCTTCCTCCTCCTCCTCCTCCTCCTCTTCCTCCTTGCCCACTCTCCAGCAGCCACTATGAGCTGCGCAAGGGAGGAGGCTGGCAGCAGCGGCCATGGAGAGGCAACGGGATGCTCCCTCACAGCTGCCACTGCCGCTGCCTGCTCATCCTCCTCCCTAAACCTGGCAGCAGTGGTGCTGGAGGCAGGGGCAGAGCAAGGTGGATGCAGTGGGGGCGGTCCGCCCTGGGTGTCATCAACCAGGGGGGTGACGTTCGGCGCGCCATCCACCCACGACTCCCGCCTACCCGAAGCTGTCGGGGGAAGAGGGCAAGTTGCGCTGCTTTGCCAGTGGCCTTCCCCCCTTCCTCCTTTGCTTTGACAGTCCCACGCTCCTGGGCTGCTGTAGGAGGCAGGCAGGCAGGCAGGCAGGCAGGGAGATGACAGGAAGGAGGCTGGTGAGCAAACAAACGTAGGGTGGAGGGAAGGAGAGAAGCAGAAGCTCCCTCAAGTCAGGACCCAAACCCTGTAACCTCCCAAAGCTCAAAAACTTTGGTGAACCCTCCCCTGTAAAAAGCTCAACGACTTTGGTCAATATCCTTCCCTGAAAAAAATGCTTAACAGCTCCTGGCAAAGACAATGGGTAGATCACAGCCAGTATTTTTATACTGTGAGTAGATCGCAGTCTCTTGGGAGTCCAACTAGATTTCAATGTAGGGGATGACAAGAAAGTTTCTGCACCGGGTACCACCTGACCTTGCTATGTCACTGGCTGGAGGAGGAAATAGGGACATTCAGGGATCAAATCAGAAGCCAGGATGGATTTTGTGATTCTGGGACTGTCCCTGGAAAAAAGGGACACTTAGATTTAGGGCAAGGAGTAAGATAGAGATGTAAGATGCCATTAATATTAGCGTATGGGTGAAGTTCATCAGACATCAAAAACAGCTTTTAGTTCAAAGCAGTGATGGGAGAGTACAACATCGTTCCTGATCCTGTTGATAATGCTGCACGTGTGGAAATCTGTCCTACGGATGCTTTGTAGGCCTTTGGGACATTCGCTCCCACCTCTGCTTTTAAAAAGAGTTCCATGGACCAGAAAAGCGAATGCAAATTTTGCTGAGAAATTCTTCTGCTAAACGTTCAGCTTCTGGTTGCTGTGCTTAATGCTGCTACCTACCGTCAGCTTTTGTTCTCGTTGCTGCATTTTAAAATATTTATCGTTTAAGACCTGCTGCTTTTATTGGTATTATAGCCATGGTGTGCTGCCATGGGGGCTCGTATTCATAGGCAGAAAGGCAAGAGAGAACTGTAAGGAATAAGTAAAATAAATAAATGCAGACGGAGAAAACAAAGGGAGAAACCAAGAAAGCACTTCTGTTAAAAAGTCTGTATTTAAAGCTAATGAGTGCATCCCCCTAAATATATGGTACCGGTTTATCTTCCCCGAAATAAGACAGCAACCTAGTGATTTTTTAATTTCTACTTTTTTTACTATTTTGTTAATCTAATCACAAACTTCTGTGCTAGCATGTATCATCAAATAATAATCAAGCATGCCCCCTCCCTCAAAAAGAAAAAGGATCTATTAGCACCAAAATTTGGCATTTTCTTCTTCTCTTTGCTTCTTGGAGGAGTGAGCATGTGAAGCACTGCCTGTGTGGATCACCCAAGTCAGGTCATTCATGATACAAAAGAGCTTTTTGAATCCATTAATAATAGGAAAGACAACTGGAAAAAGCTCAGGTAAATATGAACTCTGCCACTGGATGATGTCAGTTGTCCAATAATTATATGCTTAATCACTTTGCCTTGCTTTAGTGTCTTCGGAATCAGTTCCTGCGGTCAAAGGGGAAGAAATTAGCATCTTAACAGATAAGGGTACAATGCTAGGACAGCAGAGAGCTCTGAGGTCATATCGGATTTGAGCAAGAGTTGTTTTGCAGTGAAAGTGTGGTGATCTCTAGAGACCAGCCTTCAGCTGAAAATGATTTCCCTGTTTATAAATATGCATTGCCTGACTTTTCTCTCCCCAACCCCCAAGTTATTATGTTTTGACAACAGCCTCAGCTCCCAGGAGTCAATGGAGTTATTTAAAACGACAGGTCTCCTCTTGAAATTGTCTGCATTCGTGTGGCTTTCCCCCCTTTTCGTACCATCTACAATTAAAAATTAAAAGCTAGACATTTCATCGGGGTAATTTAGAGATTTAATCCTTGGCTATCAAGGCTCTAAATTACTATCAAAAAATCTTATTGCTGGATAATTGAGCGTTAATTGCAAGGAAACAGCCAATTTTCTTCTCAACAGTTGATGGTTTGCATTTTCAAAATAAAGCAACGAACGCAAAACTGATCCTGATGTTCTTCTGTAGCTTTCCGTTAGCAATCATTAGAAGTAAAGATTCCACAATTTCATTGATCAGAGTCAGCTTGCAGATATTCTGAGACGCAACATGAAAACAAAAACAGATTTGCCAGATGTCTCCCTCTGGAGGTTCTGGCACACATGGGGTTGTGCATAGGAAAATGTTGCTAGCTTGTCCCAGCTGACTGGGTCTTTCATCATCATTTGAGCCACAAAGTCCCTGCCATTCCTCTAACTTCCTCAAACTCTCCATGACTATATGTGCATTAAGACTCATTTTGGTCTAGGCCCTCCAAGTTGCAAGGATCACCTCCTAACTACCAAGCCTTTCAAGCTTGGGAGTACCTGGTCTGTATTTTACATTTTACATCTCTAACACTAAATCAATGCATAGCTAAACTCATTTGACATTGAATTCAGGTAGGTAGCCGTGTTGGTCTGACGCAGTTGAAATAAATTAAAAAATAGTCCAGTAGCACCTTAGAGACCAACTAAATTTGTTCTGGGTATAAGCTTTCATGTGCATCTGAAGAAGTGTGCATGCACATGAAAGCTTATACCCAGAACAAACTTAGTTGATCTCTAAGGTGCTACTGGACAATTCTTTCATTTTTTCATATGACTTTGGTTTGCCTATCATCTTCTCTATGCCTGAACTTATTTTCTGTTTCGTGCTCGCTTCGGCAGCACATATACTAAAATTGGAACAATACAGAGAGGATTAGCATGGCCCCTGCACAAGGATGACACGCAAATTTGTGAAGCGTTCCATTAAAAAAAAAAAAACTTATTTTCTGTTTCCTTTTCAAAAATATTTCAAAGTTTTGCCTTGGTTATTGAGAAGTTCTGGTCCAATCCCATAGACACACCCATATACTTGACCTCATGTTACTGCTGAGATAGATGATAGATAGATATAGACAGAAATAGATAGATGATAGATAGGTTAGATAGATGATAGATAGATTAGACAGATGATAGATAGATAGATAGATAGATAGATAGATAGATAGATAGATAGATGATAGATAGATGATAGATAGATAGAGATGAGAGCACATGCTCTGGAAACAGAAGATCGCAGGTTTGATCCCTAGTTGGATTTGAAAATACTTTGGACTGAAACTCTGGCAAGCCAATGCCAGTCAAAATAGGGCAGGAAAAGTGGGGGACCACTTTGATATGGTAGGCTGGATCCCAAAGTAGCCACCCTTCCATAGGTCACTTTTGACAGATGGGCAGGACTGCCTACCTGCCCATCACCTGACATCATGTTCCATGCCTGCTGGAAAGCTTGCGTCCTGTTCTCAGTTTAAATGCGGCACCAAATGCAAGCCCACTACCAAACAGAGCAGGTTCTAGTGTGGCTTTCCTTCTTGCTAAGAAAAAAAGTCTGATCTTTTGAGGGTGGTTTACTTGCACAAGAGCTCTCACTCAACTATAATTTCACAATCTGAGCTTGCTGGTATGTGATTGAATTTCCCCACCCACCCTGGAAAATAGTGACAGTCTGGAAACACCTTTTGGGTATGGTCATTGGCGCCAGAATCATTAAAAAACAATAATTTATATTTTATCAAGGTGACTTCAGTTAAAAGAAATAAAATGATACAGGGGAAAAAGAAGGAAAAGTGAGAGGCAGAAAAACAACAACAGAGATACATATAAAAGCAAAAATATAACCCCCAAAAAGCAATATACGATATTCCCATACATTCTTGTATCAATTGGTATAGTGTTATCGTCCTAGAGCTTTTGTAAATGTTAATAGCTTACTACATTTTGTACATGCCAAATATTATCGTATTTATCCATACAGAGCCTGCGTCTGTAAGCAGTCCGTTCATAAATTGCCAGTGATATCATATCATCAGTCCATTTACTGAAGGGTATCATTCTGACCCTGGCGCCAGACTCATATGACCATGAATGTTGCTGTGTTGTTGACTTGCACTTTGCAGACAGAGCCTCTGCTCTACAACACTCTGTGTGTGTGTTTTATATGGTGAGAAAACGGTCTTTGAAGCTTGTGAGATATAAAGAATATTTACTTTATTGCAGTGACTCTACTGATCTGACCACCAGTGATGGGGCAAGGGTGGATAGGAGTATGGAGTTGAATTCCCTAGGCTCTTTTCCTGAAAAACAAAGTTGATTCCCTGCCCCCAAATACTGAAATTGGCCAGATGAACATTTGAAGCCTCCACCATGCTAAACCTTAATGCAATGACCTAAAAAGACACTTGCTTTGCCCCACCTACCCACAAGCCATCCGTACATTCAGCCAAGAGCCGAGGAGGATGGAGCCAATAGCTCCCCACCTCCACAATGGGCAGAAAAGAGACACACCCCAATATGTGTGTGTGCATGTACACACACACAGCCTGCTTGCCCAGAAAAACAGCAGCCTAGCTACGACCATCCAAGCAAGGGGCTAGGAAGGAAATGCACCCATTTAATTTACTGGCTCCGTGCCAATTAAGAGGATTGTTGATTTGCCTCTCTGTGCAAAAATCTGTTCTTTGCCCTGGTGCTCTTGCCCATCCTTCATTTTCCCAATGTATTTATTGAACATTTCATTGTTCTCATCACTGAATATTTTGTTTTTGTCAGCGAATTTTGACTGTTCTGACAAATCCCATTCATCAACTGATACTGAAACCAACTGAGGCTTAAAACTGTTTCCCAGTACAGTATTGTATCAGGCTTTCTGTTGGGGGAAAAGGAGCGGGGGGGGTGTCTTTAAACAAAAACAAAATAAAATAATAATCCAAAACAGAAAATTCAAGCTAAATGAATACAGCCTAACAGTGCCTTTTTCCAATGAGTAAAAAAAAAAATTCTTAAAAGTGTGCCCTTGAAATATGGATGTGCAACAAGCTCACGACAAGTATATAGGATTCATTTTCTCCAGATAATAATGTATATTTAAGAGAGCCACTAAGAGATGTCAATGCTAATTTAGTACATCTATTCCATTACATGCTGTTAACTTTTGCTTCTTTGACAACCTCGTCCATTACGTTTGCTGCTTTGGTTCAAAATCTGATTTGTGAAAATACCCTAACTCCAATTTAATATAATATTATAAATCCAACTGCATCTAAGTGAATGCCTTATTATTTACTTTAGGCACATATCCTCCTTTTATAAATATGATCTTTAGAGTTCAATAACAAATACGTGACCCTTTTTCAAAAAAAGGCTCAGAGAGTTGTAGGGTTTGCCCTGTAAAGGAACAAGGGATACTTACTGCAGGACGAGAATTGCTCTGCGCAAGCCAAGGGTGAGACAAACTAAACCGTCTTGAAAGCCTTATCCTCCGGGAATTGATCTAATCCTTTTTTAATGTTGGGGGCACTCATTACATCTTGTGGGAATGAGTTAAAGAAGTACTTTCTTTTGTCTGTCCTAAATCTCCCAACATCCAGCTCCATAGGATAGCTCTAGTTCTGGTATTATGGGCGGAAGGCTTCTCCCTCTTTGCTTTCTCTACATGGTGTCAACAAGGTCATGACCAGCAGACTGGGATGTTGGAAAATCAAAGGCTTTAGGTTCTAAAGAGGCCCTATGAAGGGACATGTCCCAGATTGTGCTTTGTGACTCCACAATGCTGACTGTGAGGCTCTCCTTGTAGATTCACTATCCTCAACAGACAGGTGTCCACCATCAGGAAACTCAATGGTCAGAAGGAGGCAGTCAATGATATCCTCTCCAGATATCATTGAACTCCACTGGTCCCAGCCAGAATGGACAATGATCAGGGATGGTGATAGCTGTTATAGTCCCAACAAAATCGGGATGGCACCACATTGGCTACCCACATATTCAAAAATGGGGGGGGGCGGGGAAGGAAAGGAAAACTCAAGGGTGCACCCTGGAAAACACAGTGGTGTGCTCTTTAAGTGACCCTGAAGTAGAAATATATTTTAAAGAGTGTGGGCCAACGGCGTTGTTATTTTTGTGCACCCTTGAGATTTTATCTCGCTCCTTTTTCTTTCCCCTTGGTGCCTTCCTTCCTCTAGTTCCCATGGTTTCCAGAAATGGCCACACTTCAGTGTCCACAAAAGCTTCCCAGAATGAGGCCTCTTTGGGAAGGAGGAAGGCAAAGCCTATTTTGGGAAGGGGAGAAACAAAACTTCTCAGTGCATTGAGCAAGCCTCTCCAGATATTCTCCTTTTTTGTCAGACCAGCTCTTTTTCTTCTCTCTGGCAATAGATCTGTCTTTTTCGCACTGGAGAGGTTTCTACTGTAAGTCAGGGCCAAACCACATGTGAGGCAGGAGATTGATGATCAGATCGCCTAACCAGTTTCTTTCTTAACTGTAAAGCAGCTGTATGGGCTCTGGTTTTGATTACACCAGTGGTGCTGGGGGAGGTGTATTTATTGAATCCCTCGCTACCGCCATGCCATTTCATTAATCTAAACCATCCCTTCTTTGCTTCTATTACTCATGCTGGGGTGGGGAAATACTGTATGTATATCATGCTGTATTTTTTCCCCACACCACAGGGTTAATAAAAAGCTTTGTGATGGTGATGATTAAGGCTGTAATAAGGCATTGTTTTTTATATTACCATTCACTGTATGCAGCATCAGTTCCATTCTGCTACAGTTCATTTTCTTTCCTAGTACTGAGAAAGAGCCAGTGTGGTGTAGTGGTTAAGAGCGGTTTGACTCGTAATCTGGAGAACCGGGTTCGCTTCCCTGCTCTTCCACATACAGCTGCTGGGTGACCTTGGGCTAGTCACACTTCTCTGAAGTCTCTCAGCCCCACTCACCTCACAGAGTGTTTGTTGTGGGGGAGGAAGGGAAAGGAGATTGTAAGCCGCTTTGAGACTCCTTCGGGTAGTGATAAAGCGGGATATCAAATCCAAACTCTTCTTCTTCTTCCCAAAATGACGTCAAAGGTAAAGGTAAAAGGTAAAGGCCCCTGAATTCAACTATGGGGTGTGGCACTCATCTCTGCTTTCAGGCCAAGGGAGCTGGCATTTGTCTGCAGACAACTTGTCAGTTCATGTGGTCAGCATGACTAAACCGCTTCTGGCGCAACAGGACACCGTGGTGAGTGCCAGAGTGCATGGAAACACCATTTAGCTTCCTGCCGCAGCAGTATCTATTTAACTACTCGTGCTGGTATGCTTTAAAACTGCTAGATTGGCAGGGGCTAGGACAAAGCGACAGAAGCTCACCCCGTCACACGGATTCGAACTGCTGACCTCACGATTGGCAAGCCCAAGAGGCTCGGTGGTTTAGACCACAGCGCCACCCACGTCCCTCCAAAATGATGTTATTCATCACTGATCTCCTAATTATGGGTCGGTAATATAAGAAAGGAAGCTGCTCTGTGCCAGAGGGCAAAAGGGTGGGGTGGGACCCCTCCCTCATCTGACTAGTACTGAGAAACACAATAGCCAGGGTGGTGTGAGGGACCTCTTGTGGTGTTAATGCTGTCAGCCCCTCCATCGTAGGATCCGGTTGTATATATGTGACTCCGCTGTTCCTCATTCCACGAAAACCAGATCCTAGGTAAGAGCCTGGAACCCCTGGAATTTTGTACCACTCAGAGACTAGGGCGGCATTCAATAATATATATATATGAGAGAATGTGTGTCCTCTTTCCTCTCCACCACTGATCTCATACCACATAAGTGCACATATTATCTTGTCTGCAAGTGCAAAAGCAGGCTGTACAAACCAACTTTGAGGTAGCCACCAACATATAGAGAGCCAATTACGCAGCCTTTTCCATTTTAGTTGTTCCACAGCAGCAACACGTTTTGGTTGACTCTAGCGTCCCAATTCCACCGTCATATTTACCAGGGGTGTCCTCTAGGGGACAGTTGAGGAAACAGATGGTAGGAATCTCTGTACCCCTTTTGGTTCCTGAGAGAGGGGCTTGTGAGTCATTCCCCGGGCCCAGGCTCTGCTTTGTAGTTGACACATGCAGAGAAGGGTTGAATGAGGCTAATATTACTTTTGAATTCCACCAACTCCTTGCCAATTTCCTCAGACTTTCCACTGACGTCTTTTACTGCCTCACCAGCTTCATCCGAAGGGAATTTTTGTTACAGGCTTCTCCTTCCAGAAGCTGCAGTGCACATTCTCAAACAAGGCAAAGTTAAATTTCTTGTTCCTTGAAATAATTTATTTCACTGCAATTTCCCCAATGCAAGTCAGATTAAAAAAAAAAGTGGGGGAAATCTGGGACTAAGTTAAAGCACATTTGTACCAGATGTCTCATTTGTGAGGAGAGGAATTCACCTCTGATCAGAAGAGAATGTATGTGTAGCAGGTAGAATGGGGGCTATAGGAGTTTGAGATAAGAGGCATGTTGGATTCATAGTTTCATCCCATAAAAGGACAATACAGACTCCACTGCTTTTTATATTGCTTTTTATATTAGATGTTCAGATGTTTTTTAAAGGCAATCAAGTTGAAGCTCTAGGATTCAACCACCCTCGTGAAAAGACTGGCTGTTGTCACACATGAGACTTAAATTAGCTTTTGTTTCAAATTGTTTTCATATAATATGAATGGAAGCCTGGGCTGTATGTGCATACAATTTTCTGCTGAAATCTTTCCTATATTAACAGCATCCATCATGCCACAAGTGCCCTTATGCATGTTTACTCACACATAGTTCTGTGGGACTTACTCTCAGGTAAGTGTACATAGGATCGAAGCCTTATAGCACAATTGTAGGCATATTTACTTGGAAGTAAGCCCTGCCCTGTCTAATGGGGCTTAGGCTAGAATCCTATGCATAATAACTTGGTAGTAGACAATTGAGCTCAGTGGAACTTCCTTCCAAATACGCATGTATAAGATTGCACTGTGAGTGTCCTATAGAAAAACACCTCTGTAGTTTAATCCTCTACATACATACTTGGAAACAAGTCCTACTGAGATCAGTGGGACTTCCAGCACAATCTTCTAATGTCTACTCAGAATTAAATTCCACTTATTTCAATGGGGCTTACGCCCAAGTAATTGGATATAGGATTGCAGTCTTACTCCCATTTTAGAGTGCTTAGAACTTCAGCCTCAGTAAAGGGTTTTGAGTATATCTGGGGATTAACATATAAGGTTACCAATAAAAATAAGTAGTGCTATAATTCTTCCTCTGAAAGAAAGAGTTATCAGAATAAGTGATGAGGAAAACACACTCAAGCCAATCAATTTTTCTCAGGATATTAGCTGTTCCACAGCAGCCGAAGAAGGAAGATATCAGTCAATAGACGCTTGGATTAACTACTTTATGAGCAATAAGGCAAATCAAGATTGGCATTTTAACATTGCTTAAATCAACTGTGTTATGAGAATCAATGGAAGGATCGACTCAATAGGTGCCCGCGTTAATTTGCAGGTGGATATGACTTACATCTTTCAATTTTGAGCCACAACAGAGACAAAAACACTTTTGGCCACGATCCCACACAGAGCAAAGCATATTTGAAACCATTGAAATCAACAGGGTTAAGGATGCTTGACTATATGACCTTTGTCCATTAAAGGGCAGATGAGAATCTTCTTCCATTTGCCAGTTCATTATGTAATAGATTAGCTCTAGATCAAAGTCCATCATATTTCACACGGACATACTGCAAAAATTGTGTGTGTTGGAATCTTCAACCCAAACTAAACTTCCAGATGGTCAATGAGCAAGAGACAGTAAAACAGTGGCACCCAGAGGTGAATTTTTAATCACAGTTGAAATCAACAGCATTGATGATTATGTCACATTCTCTCTCCTGTGCTGCCCCCATAATAAACACAAATAGTAGAGACAACAGGATTCAGAATAGCCCTCCTAATCCCTGTTGAAGGACTTGTTTATTATTATTTTGTCAGGCATTTTAAGTTGGCTATTCTGATTCTATGGTTAATTTTGACTAAGGAGACAGCCGCAGGTTTAAAGCAATCATTTCATTTTAACAGCCTTGGCTTCCCTCCAAGGAATCCTGGGCAGTGCAGTTTGTTAAGGGTGCTGACCTCTCACACAGCTACAATTCCCAGCACCCATAACAAACTATGGGGCAGATTCAACTGATGGGTCCCTCTATACACAAGAACTCTCGCCAGAGCAATGGGGCTTTCCCCCATCTCCTCCCAGCCCCCATGAGCTCCATGAGCCCCCCAGATTGGTTCACAAGAGTCAGGAAAACACCCATAACGGGGGGGGCAGAAGACACGAGAGTGTTCCAACATGCAAGCAGTGGAGAGGAAGGGGTGGGGGGTGCGGGCCACCCCGGGTGTCATCGGTGAGGGGGGGTGACAAAAAGACAAAAATACGAGTTTTAAAAAATCATTTAAAAAATTGGGCTCATGAAACTTTTTAGTTCAGTCAACAAATGTAACGAAACGTGGCTGGCACTGGGCACCACACCACGGGGGCCGGCACTTACCACACGGCCTGCAGCATGCCCGAGCCACGCGTCTCTCCTGGGAGTGACATGGTGGCTTGGGCGCCTGAAATGGCAGCGCGGGACTTGCATCTGCCCACTGGCTCTCCCTCAGCCACCCTACAGCTG